AAGACACACAGTAAACGGCCTGAGGGTGGATTTGAACTTGGGCCTTACGGCACATGGGTCACCTGCAAAACTCAGTAAGCTAAACCAGCAGCCCAACAAAAAGAACAAAAGCAGCATGCACATAAATAAAAACATTTTCCGATTTAGTTACATTTTAATTTATTATTGGTTTTATATGAGTGGTACAAACATTTGTGCTAGAGCAGCCAGGTTAAAACCACCCATATCTGGAACTTGACAACTATGATTGCCTGGTCAAAAACAGCAGCACTGTTGCAAAATTAACAACTTTTCATTCCCCCTTTAGCACCTAAAACTAAGTAGAGCATACTCAACTGTTTTCAGCAGTACTTGTGAATGAGCCCTGTGCACATGCATAGTGCTACCCATATAGAAGCTGTGTACTACCTGATGGTTAAAAAAAATAAATACATTGATTATTTAACCTACATATGTAGTTAAACTCACAACACAGACATGGTCTTTAACTGAACACCTCCGTCAGCTTGATTCCATAAAACATATGCACAGATAAACACAGCTGTATTTTAATCTGCACTAAATGTGCCATCAGCTTGAAATAAGCGCCAAGCCATCATATACAAAAATATCCAAAACAAACTTCTATTTTCAGCTAGTGCACGACTTAATATAATGTGAGAACTTGGTAAAATAGGGCTGTGCGATATGACTAAAATCTCACATAGAAATAAGTTGTAAAGGCCGCCGTTTTCTTTGTGAGTATTTATTACACATGGTGCTGCGGGGAAAATCCTGTTCTAACGTTTGAGTCGAAGGTTTATTTTTTAGCACCGGGCGGCTCTTTTTTAATTCTCATCCGTAAATAATCTGCTCTTTCATGTGATTCAGTTTATTTTGAAAGGTCTCAACAGGATATTGAGCTTTATTGTGAAAGGTTTATGTGGAACATAAACAAGCGGACACGCGATGCTGTTACCGTCATTGTTGCTAACAACAACGCATAAAAACTGGCGCTTGTCCGTCCGTCCATCCGTCCGTAGTGTGGTTATATAAAATATAAGAGAAAGAGAGAACTTAAAAAATTAATATAGCCACTACAGTGACCATCAAAACGATGAAAAAATATTGCAGTAAACAGTTTATTTTGCGACACCACGAAACAAACGATAGCGTAAAATGAAACGATAGACGTTTTTATATCGTCATCCGATATATATCGTTATATCGAACAGCCCTATGGTCAAATACCCAGATAACCTACCAAAGCAGTACTATGGAAGAACCTGAACATGTTAAGGACTATGGAGTGTGGCTCCGCCCTGCACAGAGAGCCACAAGTTGGCCACTTCTCTATTGTCAAGATATTGGCATACTCTTAATACCATGGTATTTAGAGTACCTCATTCATGCAGGGGCGTATGACATCATTGCACACAACCTTGCCAACAACTGAACTGACCTGCAGTTGCTCAAAACAGTATTATTATGTTAATATTATTAACATTTTTATAGCATTTGGACATTCTTGTGAAGTACCTGTACTTGCAGTACATTTCATTTACTGGAGGGAGGGCGGGAAGAAAAATTCTTGAATGGTTTTTACAATACAGCAATACAATATTTCTGTCATTTATATTCCGTTTTAAATAATATCACCAGCCTTTGTGAAAGTGATCCTAGAGCTCAGGCTTCGGACTGCTCTACATGCTCAATTTTAAACATTTTTGTCACAGTCTTGCTGCTGCCGATGTGTCAGAACAGGGGATATTCCTTAATATGGCTATCATAGCCAAACCTGTTGTTCTAACATTCTGCAAGCCAGTCAGAAGAAAGTTCCCTTAAAGGGAGGGTTAGGTTGGAGGTACTATTACTTGTTTCAGACTAAACAATTCTCAAGATAAGATAAATAAGGACGGTCATGACCTGCGATATAGGCAAAGCTACCTCTTACAGCCCAAGAACAAACATATGGAACTGGAATAAGCATAACAGACCCACTTTTGGCATTATTCATCATAAGACCAAGTAGTTTGTGGACACAATTTTACTCACTCAGTGGAAATACAAAAAGCTCCAATAGAGACAATCACTGATTACATGGCTGTGAAAGATGGGACTGGAATTACTGACTGATAACGCATGGTCTTTTTAGTAGCTGTGGGTATTGAGTGATTTGACGCTAGAGCAACCTTAATGCGAGGCAACAATGAGCTTCCATGGCCAATATCTCAGTTCAGGTCTACAGTTATCTAAACAAATGTCCTACAAAGACTTAGTGGCAGAAGTGTGGGATTCAGCTTCCAAGTGTAGCATGAATGGTGGCTGCTTTCTATCCTGCGTCCATGCTAATGACTCAACCAGTATGTAACAGTCAAACAGCATGTTAAATGTCTGCAACTAGCATTATTTAAGTTAATCCCTGTGGGAAAGCGCTGTCCTCTGTAAATGACCTTAACCATTTCAGAGCCGCAGCACAGCCAGCGCCTCAGACGCAACAGAAGAAGCGTCCAAATATCTAGCTTTCACGTGAGTGTGTGTGGACTGAGGAGAGCACATGAACTCCAACCAAAAAGCCATCAGCCACCCCACTTGAAGACCGTCCTTGCTGTAAGCATCTTGCCAACCGTCGCACTTAAGACACAGAAAAAAAAAAAAGCACACACCAAAGCTGAAAGTTTCTCTTCCACCTAGTTAGTCTAAATTTACGTCATTGCTGTCCGATAACGGGTTGTGATACAATGACCTAGTTCTGTCAAGCAATGTTAAACCCACTCCCATCCACAAGTAGACCTAGCAACAGCGCGAGCGACACGACCAGTACAAAGTGCCAGACAGGGCTACTGTTCTGAACTAATAAGCTGCAAGTGGGAATGGAGATGTGAAACCCACCAAATCATTCGCATGTATTCAACGCAGAAAGCAACAAAATGAGTGAACATTGCTAAAGTGAGTGGCTCGTGAGCCCACCACATATGTGTTTGATGATTATTTTGGGGGGGGGGGGGGGAGTTGAGAGAACTATAAGGTAACCCCAAAACTTGTACTTATTTTCTGCATGGACAGCAACGGTATCCCACATGCAACTCTCAATCTGGTAAAAATTTGCTGTGCATTACAGCTTTAAACCAACTTAAATCAAATACAGTGCTGTCAAACCTTAAATCCACATGGGAAAGGTTAACAGATCCACAAGTACTGGAAACTAACAGCATGCTAGAAAGGACCCTGCATTAAGGGTCCCTTCTAGCTTATATAAAATGTTTCTGAATCATGTCTGTTGGTTGTAGACAGCAACAAAGACACAGCTAACACTTTAAGTTAGCTGGACTGGGAAGCTGTCTATGGATACAGGGCAGTCTGTCAGCACTATAAAGAAAGACTGTGTTTATAATGCTGTCTCCCAATAACAAAAGGCACAATATTGTATTTTGCACAACTCTGTTGCTTGTGAAGCTCGCACACAAGAATTTCACTCACATGTGCTGTACCAATGTACCTGCACATGTGATGTGACAATAAAAAGTGATTTGATTTGTGATTTGATTTGATTTGATTTGAATATCACCTGTTTAGCCCCTGAAACCAAAGCTATTTCCACAGGACATATGACCAAACAAGACTCAAAGCATACATATGTACCACACTTAAAAGCAAATGCACTTTGATTCAAGCATTGTGCATTAATTGCCTTCAGCTTGGAAGCAGAGCAGATTTCTCTTGCGTTCTGCTGCTAACGTGAAAGGAACACTTCCCAGGCATCCCACACCACCTAGTGAACAAGATTCACGGACCCCCCACCCACCCCGAAAAAAACCAAACAAAAAAATATATCACGAGCTGTCAGCAGCACTGTCTTTCTCCCCATCTTCCACAGTTCTGCGATGCATTCAGAAGAGAGGGTTTTGCTCTTTGTTAGCCAAGCGACATGTTAGGCACACAGGTAGACTGTGCCTGTTCAACACGCAGCTTTGAGAGCACATGCAGAGTCCAAGCCAGGGCCAATGGAAACTGTAAACAAAGGACCGTGACACCACCTAGGTCAGCGAGAGGGACACGTTTTTACGGAGGGCCGAGACCCGTGAGAAAACCCGAGCCACGCTTTAGCGAGCACACGAACGGGTCCGAAAAATATTCACGGCAAATAGGTTATATAGCTACCAGTGTCACTCCGCCATGTCCCGCCATCTTGGACAGGCAAGCCAGCCATTAACGTTACTTGTAACGTTTGTCAACTCGTTCACGCGGACACCAAACACACACGCACACACAAATGAGCGCAGCAGGCCCCCCGAAAGTGTTTTAAATGGGCCAACGTAATGTCATAAAACACTCCAGACTGTGCCAAAGACGAGACGAAATGCAATTGCTACGGGCACCAGCTAACCTTACCCTTACCAAATAACGTCAGTGGTGCACCCCGAAGAAAGCTACAGCCTTTCCGTTACTCCCACCGATGTTTTCGCGACATACGAGTACCAATGTGTTTGAGGTTGGGTGGGAGGGATATCTTAGCAGCTACAATTACACAATTTCAATGTGACAAAACTTTACTCATTATAGTGCAGCACCGTTTCCAGTATGTGTTACACAAATCCGTGACGACGTTGTCTTGGTAGTGGTACAAGTACACGGGGCTGTATGGGATAGCTATCCAGCTAAAGGGGAAGGGCGGTTTCCGAAAAAAGAAAAGAAAAAGGAAAACATTAACATATGCTAACTTTACGGGCAAATGAAGAGAGCAGTAGCTAGCCGGATACACGGGCGGGCCAGCGAGACGGCGTTAGCCGCAGGTGCAGGGTCGCTGTTCATCGGAAGAGGGTAGCTAACTAGCGAGCTAGCTGCCTGGCTAAGAGGGGCTGCGGCTAGCTGGCCTTGGTCTCCGTAGCGAGAGGGCCACTCAGACTGGCTTGCCACTTGAAAGCAAATTCACCGCCATGCACGACTAATGACAGATTCAAGAGAGTCCCGTAAACCCGGGTGCTGCTCGGTTGCAAAATACATCCAGTTAGATTCACTACCTTCATCAACAGGGCCTTCGTTCTGGCGCCATCTTCATGAAGCTTCTGAAATCCAAACAGTGAGCTGCAAGCAGAAGACAACACAGGCAGCTCAGTATCACTTGCAGAGCGGCTCGAGGACAATATCGACATTCAAGGCAAAATAAAACAATCAATTTTCAAAGTGTGCGTTCGTGTGAGTGCATGGGTTTACTGTTCCGACCTGTCGATCCCAGCCAAACTATCCCTCTCCTCGGCTGTCAGTGTCGGAAAGTCCTCCTCTGTTTCACTCGCTTTTCCCGCCGCCATTTTCTTTCCCTCATCACCACTAGAAGAAGCCGAGCCGAGACTCCGAGCAGCAGCGCAGGCAGCAGCGGCGAGAGACACACCGCACGATTGCATGGAAAATCGCGACGCGGGGACGAACGGATCGCTCCGCCAAATCAAAGAAGGAAAACTGAAGGGAGCGAAACGATCAAAAACTTTTCTCCGGGATGAAAAGATGCGATTCGATGTAGTAAATCCTTTCGGGGGGGACAGAAGCGCTCTCCGGGTAGCTCCTCAAACGTCACATTTTTCATCACAAAGTGGTATCGTGCAGCTATTTGAATGCAAATAACTGAGTACAATATCCAAGATGTGAGTATTTGACAAATAAAACGCGTTTCGGCCGCGAAGATAAAGTTGTTATAATTGTGTCACCCAAGCGAACCCACGCGCCGCTCTGGCCACGCCCTCTCCCCCCCTCTCCAGCCAATGGGAGCGCGTGTATACCACCATATGACTTCCCTGCTATACTATTCTTTTATCTGAAATATTCGTGTTCGCTCTGCAAAACCACTAATTTAAAAAAAAATCCACCCTGATAAAATATTTAAAAAAAAATAAATACATATTTTTTTACGTGGCTCTCTTGTGCATGAACCATAGCACTATTTTCCCGACAAATGCTCTAATTTTCACACGCTAAGACATCATCGCATATTCAGTAATACATATTGACACATGGGTGTCAGTTTTCGCTCATAGATTATTCAAAAAGTGACTGCGAAGCATAACTCTTTCCAATCCTGTCAAACCACGCGACTCTTTATGCACCCAACCTTTATTTTTATGACGTCTTCACAGTCAGACTTGCAGAGTTGCTGCATTTTATCAAATAAAGTTGTTAAACTGCTTGAAGCCCAATCAAGCAAAATGAAAGCATTTCAACTGACGTGGCAGCGGCATCATAATGTGGGCGTGGTTTATCTTTGTCAACATCCTGATGACATAACTAGTTTCTCCAAAATGGCGACGGCGGATGAGAGAGAAGGTTGGTGTTTTGTTTGTTAGAAATTACCGTTGTGCGATCACAATTCGCATTTAAATTCGTTTATTTTTTCCTCCATGAGCAATAATCGAAAAGGTACAAGGGCTTTATCGTGGCTCATACGTGCTTTTTGGTCTCCGGTAGCAGAACCTTCGCGTCCAGGCTGGAAGCCATTTGACGCTAGCCAGCTAATGTTAGCTTCCAAACTCATTTACATAGAATAAGCACCCTCGGAGCCTGTGGAGGCTGGAGTGCTTTTGCAGTTAGGAGGACTTGAAGATTAAGCTTTGTTAATAGGACCACACAGGGTGCAAACAGTTCCTGAGCTGTTAGAAAATACACCCCGAATGTAAGCGAGGTGTAGCATATGCACATTGTAGCCCTTTAACTTTGTATTTCACTCCAATTTCATAGCGGGCCAGGACGACCCAGAGAGCGAAGATGAGGTTTATGAGGTTGTGGACCTGACTGAGTATGCCCGGAGGCACCAGTGGTGGAGTAGAGTGTTTGGGAACAATTCCGGCCCCATTGCTGAGAAGTACTCCGTGGCCACTCAGCTCATGATGGGAGGAGTGACTGGATGGTAAGGACTCGGGGTCTGTGTTCTCACTGGGACATATGTGGATCCAATTGGTGTTTAACACAGTAGCAAATGTTGGGCTATTTTGAACTTGGGACATTAATATGCAGAGAAATAATTAATGTGAGAACACACCGCTTACTTGTAGAGCTGCCATTGCTAAACCAATAAAATGATTGAGTGTATACATTAAAGGAAACTCTGTATGCCTTTACTTCCAAACAATATGTACATATGCTGTTAGAGTGGCAGGTACTGTCTGTGTAGATTCTTAATCGTCTTTGCCATAGTTTTCTAGAGCTTGGAAATAAGAAGGCAAATGGTGGAAAGAGCTGGGTATTTGACCCCACATGAGGTCTCATAGTGGTTTCACCCTTCATTGTACTGACCTGTGCCTTTTTTTCTTTACACTTTGGCTGGAGTCGGATGTCGTTGATCCACAATTGATAACTCGTGTGATCGATAGTGGGGCAACGACCTAAAGGTCCACCTCCAAAGGGGACAAACCCCCACTGGGGGTTAATGGAGCGTTCCAGATTAAGCCAGAAGTTGGGATTTCCAAGTTCCTAGTTGGCATTTTCACCTGGGACGCCCCCTGAACTCAGAGCAGCCGCACCAAACCCGAGTTAACAATCCAAGATGGAAGCACCGAACTGAAGAGTAATAAAACTTTTAATCTGTGGTGCCCCGTTGTGTAATCGTGTATCTGTTTTGTTCCCCCCCCCACGCTGGGATGCACTATCTTGAATTCAGGTTCCTGGAACGCACCATAAACACCCGGGACTCTCCACAGTTTGTTTTTCGAACTTGATGAGTGGTGAAACATCATAACAAGCCTTAAGAAGTCCAGTATCCCTTTTTTCACACTCAAGAGTGGTGGGAGCCACAAGCCAATGTGCTCCCAAGAGCTGGCCCCAGTCTGAAATAAATGGCGAGGGTTGCATCAGGAAGAGTATCTGACATAAAATCTTTGTCAGTTAGATCATGTGGATCATGAACAATGAGATTCATGGATGTAGTGAAGGAGGACATGCAGAAGGTTAGTGCGACATACGAGGATGCTTGGGATAGGGTGAGATGGAGAGAGTTGATCCGCTGTGGCAGAAGAAGAATTGCGGTTAAAGATTCATAATGAGATAATGAGGTCGTTGTATAAGCAGTGCCTGTGAGCCAAAAGTTCCAGCCTCCAACTACTAGTTTAAGCCCACTGGTGACAGCAGACATCCCGAATAATAATAACAATAATAATAATGGTCATCTGTGAGAACAGGAGCCCCGGCCGCCTTTCTGTTTACATGGGGTAGCCAGTCAAACGTAGCTCGATTTAAATGAAGGGTGAAAAGCTTAAATAGGCAATAGATGAACTGCAAAGCCTTAGTAATGATTCAGTAAAAGGACTAGATGTTGCTGTCCCTGATAATGCATTCCTTCAAATGGAGAAAGTATTGAGGGATGGCTACTATGAGGAAAAGACACATAATGACTGTTTTCAAGTATGAATCAGGCCCAGGGAAAACTGACATAATTGATTCCCCTTTAAATATTTTAAAGGAAGTAACCCACCCTTTCTCTTAACACTTACAGGTGTGCAGGTTATGTCTTCCAGAGAGTTGGGAAGATAGCAGCTACTGCTATTGGTGGCGGGTTCCTTCTTTTACAGGTAAGAGCACCGTAATGCTGTGATTGTTTAGGCTTAGTCGTTAAATATTTAGCAATTCTCCATCAAGAGTCATAGAGAAGTACGTGCTTTGTAAGATTAACATACCGTAACTCCATTGACCAGTGAAGACGCCAGCTGTACGAGATGACACTCAGCTGGTCCCCCCTCTCCACCACAGAAAGGCGAGCATTGTGTGTCAGCTGGCACTAAATGGACACAGGCCATCTGGACACTTACAGGGTGCTTCAGCTCCGTCAGTAGCATTATTTTGTCGCTTAAAAGCATTCTTCATTTTGCAAGTAGATTAAACACCCGTAAAGTTAGACACCCAGATGACTTGATTATCAGGCTGAACACAAAATAATTTTTTAAGATGATATCAGAGGCCTACTGTGGACACATGCTTCCAGAAAGGGATTCTGTCCTTCAGAGTGCAGAGCTGAGGCAAATATGAAGAAGGACAAAGTAACGCTCATCAGTTTTGTTTTGTTATGTTGTCTGTTTCTGCAGATTGCCAATCACAGTGGCTACGTGCAGGTGGACTGGAAGAAGGTGGAGAAGGATGTGAACAAAGCAAAGAAGCATCTGAAGAAGAAGGCAAACAAAGCAGCCCCAGAAATCAACACATTCATTGAGGAGGTAAAGGTACCTGGAACAAAGCTTGCTCTTTCTTTATTTCTTGCTTGTTTTTTTGCTCAAGCTAAATGCAATCTTCCTTTAATTTGTATTATTTCAATATTGGGGGGGGGGGCATGTATTGGGGTCCATTCCCAAGCCAGCAGTGCCCTCTAGTGTACTCATCGAGCTACTACACCTAGTAGCTGTGACACTGCAGGCTCAAGGCAAACCAAATCAGATGTTTCGAGGTGCTGGGGTCTGTTTTGTTTGTTAGTTCTGATTTGACTTTTCCCTCGTCTCTCCTCTGCAGGCGACAGATTTCATAAAGAGGAACATCGTCCTGTCCAGCGGGTTTGTCGGCGGCTTCTTTTTGGGATTGGCCTCCTAAAGGCCGCCGCACACACTACAATCTCCATTTACTGTGAATCATCACTTTCCTTCGCTTACCTCTCTGCTCCATGTGTGTTTTGATCAAAAGTGATCATGGGGAATTATGTTGAACACTAAACCACCTGTTCTGAATCAATCCTAGCTTGCTATTATCATTCGAGTGCTCATTTCAGAGGATGTGTGTGAGGTGGTGGGTTGGTAAGAGGATCGGGGGCCGTCGGATTGTACTGTGAACGATGCTTCCGAAAGCATCAAGCTGCTACAAACAAAACTTGGAGTGTCTTTTGTGTTTGCTCGTGCAAATGAGGCTGTCCCAAGTGTTTGCCAGGTGGATTCTGTGGCATATGTGGGCGCCATTGTAAATATATAGCCAAGCCCCTTTTTCAGAGCTGTAAACAGACACAAGCACATACACACAAGTAAATATTATATAAACAGTATGGAAGGCGGCAGAGTGGGAAGGTAACACCAGCCCCCAGTCTGGTGCCTAGTTGTTGTTTTTTTTTTTTTTTTTTTTAATTATTATTAGTATAGCTGTACAGTTTGTCGGGGTCACATGCCTTTCAAAGCATGCTGGCAAACCCAGTTATGTTGGTCACACTGACTGGGGGTGGTAAAGTAAAAAGGTAATTTTCCACTCTGAACTGGAGTCCATGCTGATAAAGAACACGTCATTAGTAAGTTTAATTTGTGAAGTATTAACCCCCCCACCCCCACAGTTTGTTCCCTAATTCCCAGCTCCACAATGCCCTTAAATGAAGGTTCGAGCATCTGCTGTGCCCTAATTACCACCATCACAAGCCATATGCCCAAAGAGACACTGGTCCAGTGGTTACATAGCATAATGGAGCTGCAATTTTGACTCCTACGCCCCCGCTATTGTCGTCATGCATTTGATGGTGTGTGTAGCAACACACACCATCAAATGCGATGCTGCTGTGTTGTGCTTCATCATGTTAATCAGCTATAGGGGAGTCCAGTTATCACACGTTGCTTATTGTGTTTTGGGTTTTTTTGCCCTTTCTACTGGTGCAATATACTGTAATGTTTTAGCTGGTTTTTTGTTTTTGCATCCAGCTGGTATTTTGTATGCTTGTGTTTGTATTTAATATGATTTTGATAACTCTTATTTCCTGGTTTTGTCTCCTTTGAAGTAAAGTTGCCCTATGCTGTTTTAAATGATAGTAACATTAAAAAAAAAGGATGCTTTTCATTTAGCCTTTGTTGTTTTTAAGCAATCTCAACAGTCTGGCTTTGTGTCTTTGCAGTAGCTGGATTGATAAAATCTTAAACCTCAGATTTGCCTGCATTTATCAGTTGGTGGTTTTCACTATCACCCGGGCTCTCTGCTGTAGCCTTGCATGAAATTGTTACTTTCCTACTTCAGTAAGAGAGATGATCAGAACTGGTAATGAATGCTGCAAAAATCTTATGAATTTATCATTAATATATTTATTTTAGCACTTTGTACTCTCAGTGGTTCTGTGAATGAAAGAGGCATATCAAAGCGAAATAATTTATAGATTGACATGAGAACTTACATAAAATCCTACTTCGCAATACACCTCCACCCCACTGCAATTGTTGATGGTGTTAAACTAACTAAATAAGATAATTGATAAATTCATTAACCTTCTAAAGGAGCCAGATTCTGCCTTATCTAATTTACCTGCATGTGTAATATGTGCACTGCAGAGATGGATAATAATGATGTCCTTAGATAAAATATGGTCATTTTAAAATAATGAGGTCTCTGTTTGCTCCTACATTTAGTTTCATACATTTGTTTCACTTTAAACTCCTAAAAAACGATCACCGGTGAGCACTGAAGCCCCACCCACCTGGTGTTTAAACTTTCTGTTATAAAGAGCAGCCAAGCAGATTTAAGTTGGATTAAAGGGCAGGACAATGGCGTTGACTCCTTTAGGTCAGGGGCTTTGATGTAGCCCCTGACCTAAAGGTTACTTTACTAACAATAAAAGCCAAAGCTCTCAGTCACACAGAAATCTAACATCTGCTTAGTTCCGTTGTGACAATTTGCTTTTTTTTTTTTTAAATATCACTTGTTTGGTTTTTATTTATAACTATAAATGACAAAAATATACAAAGAGGTGAATGAACATGAATAAACATACAATGTATTTACAAGAAGAGCTGAGTGAGCGGACAAGAAACATTCAGATTTTATCCTCAATTTTTCATAATTACAAGCACAATCCTCCCTATGCTGAGCTCCTGTAACGTCCCAGATCTGTAGTATGAAAAGGGGAAAAAATGAATTAATTTTAAAAAAAAAGCCAGAAGCCACTAGCCTGTGGAGAATTCATGTAAAGAGGCTACACTGTTTGTTTTTGCTCATAAAAGGAAAAAAAAGAAAGAATAAAAGCCATATTTGTTATTCCATAACAGGTTTTGCAAACTGATATTGCAGAATTTGCATTTCCTCTTGCTGCAAAGTCATTATTTTGTGCTCAGATGGGCATTTTGAGAAGGGCACACTCTGTCAGCAGTGATAGGGTTGTGAGGATATATCTGCTGTTGGACATCTGAAACAAAAGTAAACCAATATTATCAGCAGGTTCTTCTTTCATTAAAAAAATAAAATAAATAAAGCTCTGAGGGCAGTACCTTGACCCTGCCGCTGAACTTGGCTGATCCCAGTGCAGATGAGACCTGACTCAGGCGTCCTGCTGACAGGTCCAATCTGAAATGCCTGTAGAAGTGGCTCATAAGGCCCTGCATGAACCTCGTCACCTCCTCGATGTCAATGCTTCTCGCTGTCTCCTCCTCCTCCCTGCTCTCCAGTGAAGGGGTCCTCACACTGTTCCACAGCTCCCACGCATTTTGAGGGTTAACTGTGTAGGTGATCTGCAATGGCGGCTCAACCGGAAGAGTCCAAATCATTTTGAGATGCTGGATGCTGGACTCTATGTGGCAGTTAGTCCATAATGCCGCTAGCCACTGCAAGCAGGTCTGGTTGATTTCCAGAGGGCCAAAGCAGCAGTCAAAGGTCTGCTGAAACCAGGATTTGACCAACGAGGTGAGATTCTCAGCCCCATGGCTGCCAAAGAGCGGCAGGCAGGTGAAGTCCTTCGGAAGCGAGTGAAGATATTCAGGATTGCCATTGATGCAGGTCAGCCAGCCGCTCCACACCAACTTCTGCGCCTCATCCTTCCCTGCAAACACCGGCTTTGAATGGATCTGTGATGGGAAAGAAGACAGAGTAACGCCAGCTCATACTGTGCCTGAAAACCTTCTCCCTGCCTCTACAAACTCCTGTGCTTACCTGTACGAGGACCGTCTCAGCATCATCGTCCGTCTCTCCCAGCCCCTGCACCACAGAGAAGGAAACTCTGAAGCTGGTCTGCGCTCCCTCAACCTCCACTGCCAAACCCTGCTGCTTCTCTGCAGTAATAAATGCCGAAAGCTGCCTCGAGTAGCTCCTGAGCTGGGTGTGTCTGAACTGGTAGAGCGGTGTAACGTACGATAGCTGCCACTCTGTCTTCACCAGTAAGGCCAGATCCTCTGGATTCACCTTCTCCTTTACCAGGGAAAGAGCAGAATGCAAAGGATGGCGATTCCATGTTCTGTTCTCCAGATAATTAATATATTTAGAAGAGAAACTTGCATTGACTCACAGTGATATTGTGTGACTTTGTTCTTCTGCTGGTGTTGAGCCTCCGCGCTGTCCATCCTGGGGTGTGGCCGAGTCTTGAAGCAGCGCCTAGGCAGCTGCGGTATGACTGTCTGTAGCTTTTATTTTTGCTCCTCCTCTGAGCCACAATGCTGTCGATGGGAGTCCTCACCACACTGAAAAGAAAAATTAGTCAATCAATACATGAATTTAAAAGAATAAATCAAACATAAAGCAACAATCTACAATTAAACTTGTGCTTTGAACTAGGAACACAAGTAAGGCTTTTGCAAAACCTGCACTTCTCATGTGCTTAAATACCCAATTTATTAGACTCATAAAACAAATTACCATTCATTTCATACACAAACACCATTTCTAAATATACTATAGACGCATTATAGCCACTGTGTCAACAACGTATTTATACTCAGACTGTACGGATGTGGACTTATTTTAAAGGTCAGATGCTCCCCTGTTTTAAAACAGCAGCAACATGTCAAAAAAGACCGAGGCAGAGCCAGCGGGCTAATGCTAGCATTAAAAAAAAGGCAAACTATCGTCCCGATCCTGTTTGGGCAATCCATTCATGTTTTAGAAACCATGGAGTGACATTTAAAGTTAAACATTACACAGACTGCGCTTAACTAAACACACAAAAGCTTCAGTGCCCACTCCCTGCCACTTGTTTCATTTTGAAGGATGAAAAAAGGAGCTACGACTGCAAAACGTAAAAATTTGATTTATTCCAGTTCTTTGATGTGTAGGAGAGAAGCCGAACTGAAAAGTAGAGGTGAAAAAATCCTAAAATGACAAGTTTAACGTTGTATCAAGCCCGTGCATTTCATTAAATGCAAAACAACATTAAACCACCTAATTGCTGAATGTTGAATGGTGTTGGGGTCTCCGTTGTACGGACAACGACGGGAAATGCCGTTAAATTAACCCAAATGCGTCGTTGGACACATTGTTGCCATTTTTCCTTGCCGCAAAAGCAAATGCTTTGTAGAAAATAGCATTTGTATAGTGTAATAACGACAAAGGTAAAATTTCTACCTGTTTTGAGGTCGCTCCATGTCTCTGGCTTAGCGACAAAGGCTAAAAGTAAAACCGGAAACAAATTTGAACATCGCGCTTTCACAGGAACCTGCGCGGTCAGACTCAGCCAATCACATCTACCCAAACAAGAAGTGGGATTTGTAGTTTCCCCCCCCCCCTTTCACAATTTATCGAAATCTAAAACGTTTTAATTTTTTTTTACTTTATTTAATTTACACACACACACACACACACACACATATAATTTATATATTTATATATTTTATTATTATTTTAATTGTATATTTTTTATTTTTACATTTAGCCTTTGATGGCTTATTACCGAAATACTTGCTGTGACTGATATTCTGAGGGGGGGAAAAGCAATTTTTACAGTCTTTGAGGAAAAAGCCAAGTTTTTTTTTTTGAATATTGATGAGAAAAATATTAGAGATAACATATTTTAAATTCATATAATACATACATATATACATACATAAAACATGAAAAAATATATTCTTTGAGATTAAAAAATTTGCTGCAGTGGAAAAAAAAAAAAGAAATATTAAAATAAAATATATATTATATTATTATATATGATTATATATGTATTATATTTATATTATATTATATGTATTTTTGCCTGCTATTGAAACTGTTGAGCAGCCATCAGCCATGTAGCCTTATAAGGTCTTACTGCTACACACACACACTACACATACATACATACACATACACACACACACATTTTTTTTTTCATTTTGTTTTGTATTGTTTTCACGAAGCAGCCATATTGATTCATTGAATTTGCAGTTTATGGCCTAATCTAATTATTTATTAGATAACAATCTGGAAATACATTGAAATTTAGCTCAGAATCACAATATGATCAAATAAAACCAGGAGGTGAAAAGACAGAAGAAATATTGTAACTTTATAATGTCAATTTCTGCCAAATTGGTAATTTTGCAATGTTGAAAAATATTCTGTTATTAATATTTTTAAATATATCAGCTTACTTAGTTGAAAAACCTGAATTCTTATACTTTTCCCATTTCCCATTGAGTTTCTGTTATAGGAGGAAACACTTCCAAGGCACTTTGTGTTGAAGTGACTCCTCTCCTTTTGCTGGTTATTGCTCCCTAGGGAAGAATATGGAGCTGGAAGCATGTAGCAGTCTAAGCAGTCCAAACCTTGTTTTCCCTATTTCCCCTTGCACTAATTCAGCTGACTGATGTCCCACTTTTTCTGCGCTGAAGCATCCTCCTTCATATCTTTTTTGGCACGTTATTCTCTACATTACACCTCTATGCCAAGAGGACTGAGCAGGATTGTAATACAATGTTATACAGCTGATTTGGTCTAAATTATTGATGATAAATCTATGTCAGCCTGGAGAGAAACAAAAGGTTCTCTGAAAAGCACAGCTAGTCAAAACGGTTTAACCAGCAGGACTGGAAATGATGTGTGCCAGGTACACGTGTTGGGTACACATGAAATTTAAAGGTGAAGGTTATTTTTCTGTCAAAGCTATTAAGTGC